CGTTTCGCGTGGATCAAATGAGTCTGACCCATACCCGGATGGCCGCCCGGACAACCCAATTTGGGGTTATCCAGCGGAGAAAGGCTGAAATCGAGCCGCTCAACGCTCTATCGAGGAACGTGCGCAATGTATAGGCAATCAAGAACAGTGCCACTCCAGCTGGACGATGGAGAAAGATCGAAGTTTTTGAAAACTCTTCGGATGAGGACTAGCTATGATGAGGGCTCCTGCCGCCATGCTGGGCTCTCATCCCTCGAAGTTACATGGGATCATGTCGGTCTCAATCCGCTTTCGAGTTGTCATGCAAATCTTCAGACTATCATGTGCTGCGGGTTGCGTTTGGTCCTCAATTGACATGTGGTCTTACAAAGTATTTTGCTCATGTTCGTCAAGACCCTCTGGGGCTGGGCTTCCTGTGGAGTACAGAGGGACGAGCCGCGGCTCGATGTTGCCAGTATATCCAGCCAAAATTTCACAACAGAACATACTATGTTTAACGTACTCGCAACGCAACAGGAATCGTTTTTCCGATAGTATCACTCAATACATCGTTCTATAATACTACAGGCGCCATTAAGCGAATTACTAGCAATAGCCACAACTGCATAGCTAATCCCACGGTATGTACAGTATCACCGTATCTTCGTCCTGCACCGATTCTTCAGGTTCTTCACGACTTGGAGCGTTGAGAGCCGACCATGTAGCTTCTGCCCATCTTTCATCGACGAGACCAGGCTCGCAACTCCCGTGCGAATCGGCAGACCGTAGAGATCCCGATGCTGCTTACAGTGGTCACTTCGCGCAGCCACCACCCTCTCACATCCCATCTCCTTGCATCTCTTCCCACCTCCGTGCCTCTGACACATTTGTACCTCTCCTCCGGATCTAGCTGGAGCCGCACAATCGGGGTGTAAACAGCGACGGTCGGCTCCCTGGCTCTCGCAGAAATCTGTCTTACCAACTGCACTCTTGCTACAGTTGGCAGCGACACAACGACGACCACCTCCATGCTCGATGCAATTAATGAAGCCGTCGCGAGCGGAGCTCGTGCACCCGGGAAGCATACATCTCAGACACCAGGTTCTGGTTACCAGGATATTGAGCGAATTGAATCAGCCTATCTCGATAGGTTGGTTGAATCACGATACAGTCTTGCTAGCCTTTGGAAGCGCACAATACCTTGCCCGAAAACTTCGAAGTCATGCTTGGTAAATCCGCATCTCGTAGTGTGCTTCTCCCTTTCCAGCTA